GCTGAACCAGAAGTGCCAGGCCCAGGTGTTTAGCAAGCCCTCTAGGACATTCTGATGTACACTAAAGCTTGAGAACCACTGGGTTACCTCTTGTCTATTTTGGAAACACTCTGGGAAAAGAGAATCCTTCACAAAATTCTCCCTTATCTTACTGAACATGAGGGCAGGAAGTGGTCTAAGACAGCATACAGACTCTCTTCTAGTTTTTACTGATCAGGAAACTGAGGCCCAGAGATTATTAATGGCAACTAAAATTTGGAGCAAAATGTGTTCTGGCATCAAAGCTGAGATCCTCAATACACAGTACACACAACCAGCTATCATTTTGCATAGTTGAAATCAAGTTTCACTTTTAAAGGGTCCAATGTGTAAAACCCCTTTCTATTTATTAATAAATCCAGGTGTAGCTGAAGAACCAATCATATCTAAAGGCTAAGTCAAGATTTTTGAAAATGTTCCTGAGAGAGAAAAAGCCTGATTTTAGTGAGAAAATCAAGAATTCAGTGGCCAGAAATATCAGGCTTAACATCAGATTCAAACCAAAGCCAGCTCTCACAGCTCCTTAACTAGACTGAAACTAGAACTATTTCTCTGCCTAGTTCTAAAAGCTCCTTAAGAGGATAATCCAGGTTTCCAGGTAATACTGTCAGCCCTGAGTAATGGCTAAGACACATGCCTGTAGTCTTGGGCAAGTTACCTTACCTCTCTGTGCCTCAGTTTCTCCATCTACTTCAGAGGACCATTGAGAGAATGAATGAGATATTGCATGTAAAGTTCCTGGCACACTGTAAATGCTCTAAAAATGTTGCTGCTGCTCTCACTGCTCTAAATATTAGCAGTAGTATCACCAAACCTACAGTGTGGACTGTTTATGTGCTACACCTCACTTATGAAACACATACCTTTACCAAATGTCAGAAAGCTATTTCCATTAATACTGGTGTGTCTCTACTGGTTTAGCCACACTGTCTCATCATGATGCCAAAGCAGCAATAAGGAAGGGTGAAAGGCATCATTAGCGCTCCAGCATAAGGGTCTCCAACTGCCCTACGTAGCAGTCAATCTCCACTGAGCCGCATAGCAATGTGCCCTAACAACTGAGCAACCAGCCACAGCTGATTTGAGGCCCTCAATTAGATGGTATCTTATTGACAGAGAAACTTTCCTACAAATATCCTCACCCAAGGAAAAGCCTCAGAATATCTCATAACAGCCTAATAAAAATTTTGTGGATAGAGAAGTGTCCAGAGTATATAGTTTTTCAGCTCCATGTGCCTAAAGGCAAAGGCTCTGAGGATAGCTCTTAAGGGGAAAAATACCCTCTTATGTCTTCAACCTTGTGATCAGGGCTAAAATTCCTTACCCTGCTATGAAACTTGGCAGTTCGATAAGACTTGGGCGACAGATTGTACACCGTGTAGTGGTCAAGATGTCTGGAATCCAAAAAGCTTCGAATGTCATCAACCTGATTTCTGAATCCTATGTCAACACTGTCCAGAGGAAAGGACATCACTGGAGGAAGGGTCACACAGAAAAAAAATAGGTTAAACAGGTCCGCTCTCGCGATGGGCAGCCATTGAAAGCTGAGCTATTGGGCAGTTAATAAACATGAGAAACTTACCAATAATTCTGGAGGTAACATAAGTGAAGTCTAAATCTCCCTTCGTGTAGCTAAAAGCAAGACAAGAAAGGGCACTCATTAAAATGATCCAAATGTCCCACGATTTCTCTCTCTCAATCACTTGCACATCAAGACCTGGGACATTTCCATCCAGTAGCTATATTCTGACTTCCCTTCAGGCCCTCCCCCTAACAAGTAAGCACTGTTGATAGAAGACAGCCCACACCCTCAGAAGCACATACCTACCACTCCAAACAGGGCATGCAGCTAGCGGGTAGGGGAGGAAGTGATGGAGAAAGAAAAAAGGACCCTTTTTTTTTTTTTGCCTACCAGGCGCTAGTTGGGGATTGAAGGGAAAGGATACAATTACTGTTGAAAAAAATTAAAATGTTGATTAATATGTTGGACTTCACATTTGAATTTCTGATTTAAAACCACATATTTTAACTTAAAGTGACCCTAGAACTTTCTAATTCCTAAGAGTAAAAAAAGAATTCATATGGCCTGCTTGTAAAAGTTTCACACAGTAGAAGGGTAGAAACTTCTCCCAGTAAATAAATTTTAAAGGGCTATTAAGATACGAAAACAAAATTCTGTTTTGATTACAATCCATAAGTATTGCTTATTTGGATTGCATGTGCATTACTGTCTCACTTAATTCTCAAACCACCTAAAGACATAAATCTTACTAGGGTATCAAAGCAAAGCTCAGAGAGGTGAATTAATTTGCCTTAGGTTAACAAGGGGAGATACTGCATTAGAATTCAGGATGCTGGATTCGAAAGCCAGGGATGGCAACCACTATCCTCTAACGTACCAAGGGGCCAAGTCCTCCCAGCCTATGCCTGTAGCTTCTGAAGGACTCAACTTTGCAGCTTCAATGGCATTCCTAGTCAATCAGATCCCATGCAGCTGCATCACAAAATTGATAGTCTTTGAGCCAGTTGGCAGGTAAGCAGTTGGCAGGTAAGCAGATCCTTTGGGGGCACAGAGTCCATTAACTTAATGGAGGACACACATACCTGGTAACAGATTGTATAACTCTGGAAGACGTGTCTTTGAGGGTGTCTTTCAAGTTGTCCTTTAGGTTACTAAAGAGCCTCCCTGCACCTCCTTTCACCATGTCAAAGAGACCTCCCCCATAGCTGGGCTCCATGTCTGGAGACGAGGCACCTGCCAGTGAAAATCAGAAAAAGGGGTAATAGCACAGACTACACAGGAAACCAATCCCTCTTTGTTCCTGAAACATACGCAGGCCGTCCTCGGGAGTCTGGGACAGATATTCCTGCAAGTTATGTCACGCTTCCAGAACTTACTGACTCTGGGTTACAGACAGCAGTCTGCTGGTCCTCAGAGGAGACCAAGGAAAGCCCCTCACCAAGTTCCAGAACAGAAACCTCCAGAGCTGCATATCCAATACTGCAACCACGTGTGCCAACTGAGCGCTGGAAATGTGGTTAGTCGGAATTGAGACGGTGCTGTGAGCATCGAAGTGTCAAAGTGCAAAAAGTGTAAAATATCTCACACACTTCTTTTGACAATGATTACATTTAAAATGATAATATTTTGGATATACGGAATTAAATAGATTATACTATTAAATTAATTTCACCTGTTCTTTTTTAACGTGGAGACTGGAAAATTTTAAATTGTATATGTGGCCTGCATTATACTCCTTTCAGGCAGTGTGAGGAAGAGCAGCGGTCAGCTGAGAAGTGAGTCCCGGGGGCCTCCTCTGGCCTTCGATGGAGTTGACTGTGTTAGAAGACTCCTTCTATGGCTATCTCGCAAAGTAACAGTTCACTTCCATCCTGGGGAAGTATTTTCTGAAGGGCCCTTATAACAGCGTTTAAGCTTGAGTGCGCATAGTGGTCACTGGTGTTATTTGTCAAGTATGTCAGGTCCTCCTCCCTGAACAGGTTTCAAGCTGGAACAAGTACAGGTTTCATAAAATTGTACTTTCTGGCTCTTTGTGACTGGCTCTAGTCCAGAGTCTCTCAACCTTGGCACTATTGACCTTGAGGCCGAATACTTCTTTGCTATATGTGTGTTGTGGTGGCTGGCGGGGGGAGGGGGTGGGTTGTCCTGTGCACTGTAGGGCGTTTAGCAGCATCCCTGACCTCTGGTGACCAGGTAGCACCCCCCACACACACACCTTCTCCAGCTATGACAGCCAAAATGTCCCTAGACGTTGGCAAAATCAGCCCTGTTTGAAAACCAGCACTCTCGTTTATAATATGTGAGTGGAAATGTTGTGTGTCTCTCTCAGCCTGGAGCATTTAACTGTTTAGGGTGAGATTATCCATAGTTCTCATTCCCATATATTCTCTCTCTCTCTCTCTCTCTCTCTCTCTCTCTCCATAGCAACCCGCAAGGTCTGAGATTATGGCTACTCTGTCCAGGACTCCTAGCTCCCAGAGTAAAGAGCTTGTGGCAGAGCTCTCAGCTGACCCTTTGATGAATATGTACCATGAACGAGGAATAACCTTTTATTATTAGAAGCTATCCCATTCCCATTTTAGGACTGCTCATTACCATAACATAACTTAGCTTATAAAGATTGGCACAGGAAAGAAGTAGGAATCTGTGTACAGGAAGCTAATGTAAACAACAGCCAGGCAGGCTGTACAGACTAGCAGTCAAGAGCATGAGTCACTCTTACCTGGGCTCTGGCAGGAAGAAAGATTCCTGACTGTCAAACAGGGATTAAAAATAGTGCCTACTTCATAGGGAAACATAAAACGAGTGTATCTTAAGCATAGTACCTACTACATTTAGGGGTTAACGGATTGCAGCTATACTATTATTATGACACACCCTGAAATTCCTATGTTGATGATATTTTTAAATCTTTGGTCACTTATCAACTCTTTGATGACAAAGGGCAAGAAAGACATCTCTTCTTTTTAGAAAATTGCAGTATTTGTTCTATACTTCAAAATATGTTAGGAGGATAGACCCCTGGATCTCAGGTACAGTAGAACACAGGAACTTATTTAGCTTACAAGAGCAAACCTCTGTAACTTTGACTCTATTGCTGAATAAGCTTCCTTCCATGCTTTCCTCAGGACAAGGGGGGTGCATATCTATGTTCCAACCAGATCAGTTATTTTAAGTGACAGGTAGATGCATGCATGTGGACAATGGTTAAATGTGCTTGTGGAAAGTCTGGAGAGAAAATTTAAAAACAAACAAACTAATGAAGATGGATCTCACGTTAAGTGTTCTTACAAAACAAAACCAGAAAAAAAACCCCAAAAAGACAAGCCACATAAAAGAACACAAGAAACTTTTGGGACGTTGTGGTGATAGTATGATGAATATATGCATGTGTCTAAACTCATCAAGATGTATACATTAAATGTGTGTGATTTTTATATACCAGTTATACCTCAATAAAGATAAAAAATTAATTGCAGAAAAAGGAAAGTCGTAGGAGGGATTTGTAGATTAAAATATCTTAAAAGATAAATCAATAAAGTATAATGCATGGAACTTAATCCAAAGAAACTATAAAAAGTTAATGACATTTATGGGCAATTGGAATTTGAAAATTAACTGGGTATTTGATGTTAAGGATATATTGTTAATTTTAGGTGTACTAATTATACTGTAGTTATGTTACATATAGTCTTTATCTTTTAGAATACTAAAACATTTATTATACATTTTAAAAAACTGCGATGTTTAACATTTAAAAAAATAAACAGAGAATAATAAAAAATACTCATGTAATTAGAACCTGAATTGCTAACGCTTATATAGCACTTACTATTTGCTAGGTAGTATTCTAAACATTTTACCTATGCTCACTCATTTCACCCTCACAGCATACCTATGAGGTAGATAATATTATTTTTCCATTTTATACATCAAAAAACTGAGGCACAGAGGTTAAGCAACTTGTCTAAGGGTATACAGCTGGTAAGTCAAGGGCAGAGTTGGGATCTGGGCCCTACGCAACCTTTACAACCATATCTCTCTTTCTTCTCCTAATACTATCTTGAATTTAATATTTATCATCCCAAATAACTTCTTTAAACTTTTATTTCATATGTAGGTATCCATAGACAATACATTAATATTGTTTTCCACACTTTCAAACTATATATAAATGGCTTTCTGTCTGCAACTTTATTTTTTTCACGCATCATTATTTAAAATTCTTCTATGCTGATACCACATATACCTTTAGCTCACTTAAAGTATGCATCCATTACCCCATAGATGGATACTAAGATTATTTTCTATAACAAACAACGTGGTGATGAACACACTGGCTTGATTACATGTGAGAGATCTCTCTAGGTTACGCCTAGGAGTGGAAATCTGCTTGGAGATGGGATACACACATCTTCAAATTTCTAGATATTAACACATCATTTTCCAAAGTAGCTGTATCAGCTTAGACTCCCGCTAGTAGTACATATGAGCTCCGTCCCTCTACATTCTCCTTAACACTTGGTATTGTCAGACTTTAACATTTTTACCAATCTGGTGAATGAGACAATATCTCCTCTTGGTCTTATTTGTGGTCTCCCCCAATTATTGTGCTTACTAGCCAGGCAGCTGTTCTTTAAATCATACTTCACGTATCTACTAAACTTCTATGAGCCGTTTAGATGTTCATACATATACCTATAAATACACGTTGACTGTTAGGTACTTACACCCTGATCACAAGAGCTTTTGATGCCTAAGTCGCCATTAGGCATCTATTTGAAAACAAGGCTCTATTAGAAATTACAAAGAACAATCAATGCAGGTGAATAAACAGATGAATAGACACACGGACAAACACTGATAATGTCTACCACTTACTGAGCTCTCCCATGCACCAGAAATCCCACTTGGACTTTTATGTTAGTACAGTTTCACGGTCTGGGAAATAAGGAGGGTGTTTATTATCCCCATTTTCCAGGTGAAGAAATGGAGGCTCAAAGAAGGGAAGCAACTCACTTAAGATCTCAGCTAACAAGCGGTAGAGCCAGGGATTCAAACTCAGGTGTGTACAATTCCCAAGCCTACACTGCGTCTCCATTTCACGCTATTCCACAGCTCCATATTAGCCCACAATTCTCACAGCTGTAATCAGGACAATCCTTGCCTGCCTTACGCACAACCACCCCTCTCCTATCCCTTGCTCTCCTCGACCTCCCACATGTATGCCATTCATCTGGCTGCTCTCAGCAGCAGGTGTCCTCCCAACAAGCACTCTCATAAATCACTGCATCTGTCAGACCAACCAAACCAATCGCATTATGCAGGCAGCCAAGCCTCCGTCGCCCACACTGCTTCGCAGCCCTAAATAATTGCCAGGAGCTTGTCTGAAGAGCAGCTCCACAGACCAGGCAGGGCTACAGCTACAGATTTGAGAATGTTCTCTGGTGTTCTGTTTCCCTATGACATAGGGCATATTATTTCCCTTTAAACACATCCACATATAAAAATCTGTATCGTGTTTTCATTTTAAATACAGCAAGGATAGAGCAACATATGCTTATAACTCCTCATTTCCATCCCGAGCCTGAATACCCTTCTGATACATTATTGTTCTAAGAGATGACACCAAACTGATTATCCAGACCTCTCTCTGACTCTCAATTTCATGCTGAAACAGCACTCCAAGGCACCAACCTATTTAAAGATATAAATATCCTTGATTATCTAAAAATCAGACTCTCACCATCACTCAGGCTGCATACTCTATTCATTAGAGCCTTAGAACCCTGCAGAGACCAGAGCCATTTGCCAGGGTTACAAAGTCTGCAACCTCCATATACCCAACTTATATGTCAAACTAGCCAGGACACAAAAAAGAGGAGGGACGCTATCTGATTTTGCCCTAACGGTTCTTTTAGGTGGGTGTTCTGACTCTCCTTAATGAGCTACATGAATGTCAGAAGCACAGATTCTCAAAAGGATACTGGAGCCTCAGCTTGCTGAGAGAAAGGGCAGGAAGACTTCAAAAAATGACACAACAAAGAGGGAAACGGTGCAGTCAGAGAGTGATATGCACAAGAAAAATAATGACTAGTAGATCAGGGGTCAACAAACGACAGCCCACGGGCCAAATCCAGCCTGCTGCCTATTTTTATATAGTTTGTGAAATAAGAATGGCTTTCACGTTTTTAAATGACTGAAAAAAGTCAAAAGAAGAATAATGTTTAACA